CCGGGACAGCAGGTCAAAAGCGACTAAGAAATAGGACCACGTTGAGGACCTCAGTTTTAGATGAAACCTCTGACATAACCGGTCAACGCACAGCCCCACCACCTGAGTTGGAAGGGATCAGGAAGAATGGAGACAAGTAAACTACTCATGAAAATGCTCCGCCTAACGAGTAATACGGCACTCCATATTGGGAATCATGAGACCTGGGCTGTCTCAGATTGTCTCGATGAGACCTGGTTTGCTGGGACCAATAGTGCGGATTAGCTGGAAGAGCTTGCGATAACTGCTCACTGCGCATGCTTACTACATATCTTTGGACCTAATAATCCACTAGGCATCCTTGTCAGCACCCACGCTCCGCTTTATTTCATGCCTAATAGTCCATCTAGTCACATTGTGCTCAGAGCCAGCCGGGATTTTCAAATGGATTCCAACAGGCTCAAAGATCTCTTGGATATCCAGCGAATGGTGCGGTGACGAGTGATAGGGAAAATAGCAGAGGTACCTGCATCGTGCAGGACGGCCGAGATCCCATTCCATTGAACCCTAATTCAATTAAGATGAGGGTACAGAAGTACGGCACAAAGGGCATCCTGGTGCGTTTGCCTAATGAGCGAATGAGATAACATTTCAGTCATCAATTGAGCGAGGCGTCTGGTAGGCATCCAAACATCATCATCGACAGCAGTACATCAGCCATTTGAACAGATGTCTCGCTGCCATGCAACCATACGGAACGAAGCATAATAAGAGGGAGAGAAGAGACACCTACCGGAAAACTTAAATGTCCCAAACAAACACTCAGGGTCAAGGTGCCTACACTTTCTCAACAAGATTCTTTCACAAACAGCTGACTATCGTGCAAAAATGAGGCGGAATCAGAGAGAAGGGTTGTTGGTGGCTTTCACTATGCTACGTCATAATCAGCCATGACCTCGCAGAAAAGTCAGCACCAAACACACGTTGAACAGTCAGTCCGGCTACCAGATGACAGCAGACGCGCCACTAGTGCGGACTGCGAGTCAGATTCTGTAAAGTCTTGAGCCAAGCACAAGACGAGTCACGTGGACTCCAGCCTCGAAGGCGAGAAGGACCGACGGCACCAAGTTCCGTCGTCAGTAACTGCATTTCGCCTTCCGTAATGTGAATAATGACACTAGTGCTGTCTCTGATTGTCTCACTGACGCCTGGTTTCCTGGGACCAGTGGTGCAGACCAGTTAGGAGAGCTTGTGATAGTTCCGTACTGCTCCGGCCTCCTCCGTTGCTTGAACCCGACTACTCCATCAGAATTCCTTGTCAGCACGAGCCACCGCTTAGGTCCGTCTGGTTACATTGTGGTCAGAGCCAGCCGGAAAGTTTCTTCTGGATTCCAACAGATTCATCGACCTCTCGGGTATCCAGTGACTGTGCTGTGACGAATAATAGTTCCACAACCAGATGCTGCTGCGTCGTGTATGTCGACCGAGATCATTAGGACAAGGGAGTGAATCTTGGTAAGTCTGCCTGACCGAAGGCTGAGATAACTTCTCAGTTGCCAATCCGAAGAGGCGATTGGTGCGTCTCCCGATAAAGTTTATGGGAAAACGATAGCGTACTAAGGCAGGATCAGAGACAGCGCAAGTGCTCCAGAACGAGCAGCAATTCAGGATGGAAACACGCCACCTGCAACTTACTACAACGTGATCTATTTGGGTCTATCGCTGGTCAGCTACAGGAGGACGCCAAGTGGCAATTCGGCACCATAACCCGAACAAGAGACAGCTGATGCTCCGCAGACAGTTGCGAAAGACGCTCGCCGTTGTCCGTCCGATCGGAGTTAAACGCATCACTACCATCTAGCTGAGCTACAGAAGAGCCTAGACGACCTACTTGGGCATTCATATCTCCTGCAAATATCATGCGATCTGAACAGGTAGCACTGCGTAATAGCGTGCTCAGTTTGTGGTAGAACGCGTTCTTGGCAGCATAAGAACTGCGGCCGGTGGCAGTACAAACGGAAACCGCAAACAAACAGCGTCTTGTACTACTTCGTGGATCAACTTTACTCGATGTCGTCAAATAGGCTGCACACAAACTGCTGTTCACCGAAACCAACCAACGATGAGTTAGACTTGGAACTGAATACCATACCTACCTTAGCTTGCCCAGTGGCTGTCGGAGAAGCGTCTCCGGATGCGTGCAACCAATAGCAAGTGGACAAACCGAGCGCAGCTAATCCAACAACCCCGTGATGGTCAATGATCCTAGTTAGGGACACGCAACACAAGTCCATACCCAGTGTGTCCAACGTGCGTGCGAGTGCAGCGTGTTGCCTGATTTGTCTTTGGGTGCGAAGGTTGAACGCCGCCAGCGAAGCGGGACAGCGTGGTCTTATAACGGACAGCTGCCGATCGGCGTCCAGTGGGTGGCGTGGGAAGGTGGCTGCAGATGGTGTGACTCCAGATGGCATTAAGGTTGCTGTCAATTAAGCTGAAAACTATAGAGGGAGTTGGGACAGAAGTAAGAGGAACAGTTGGAAAGGATAGAGGGGAGGTGCCAGCAGTGGCATGATTTCGCTTATCCACCCTACTACAGTATGTGACAGATAAGATTATTCTTAACAATCTGCGCGACGAACGATGCAGGATGTAGCTGAATTTTGAGAAAATGATCATGGTTGTATGTGGACTGAGATACTGCGCTCAGGCCTAGATAGGGGAAAGATTAGGGTCCTCAACCAAAGCCTTTGGCTCAAAAGCCTGTCCGCAAGGTAGCGGATGTGGCAGCGATTCAGTTCTACAGAAACTGATGCCATCCCATTTCAAAACCACCAACATGAAGGACCTCTAACCGTTGACCAATCTGGTAGGAGTAGCTCTCAAAGGGCCCGGGGTCACCGTCCAGTATAGTTCACTGGGTCGATGAGGTACGCAAAACGTCGCATCACGTTAAGGTACAGTCTCCTTACTGCGGATGAATTTAAGGAAAAAGAGTTTACCGGACTAAGAAAGTTTGAAATTGATTACAGGTTTCCAACTTCTCGACTCGGAATACGTCGCGATATCACCCCAATATGTGATAGTCCACCAACCTACCAAGCAGCAATGGAATATTTATATTGACTGGAATTATTTCAAATTATGTTTCGTACCCTCGATATGCACGTTTCCTCCAAGATTGGAGGAGACCAATAACTGTGCTGAGCCTTGGTGTGGATTAACTAGAAGTGGTTCAAAAATGGAACAATCTGGGTGGAGGCTTTGGAATAGAAGATGAGGTCTCGAACCATATACTTGCATCTGATCATATTCATCCATAAAGTGTATCACTCGACCAACTGAATGAACATCTACATACAATGACTAACAAAACCTGGGGCCCGTTGTGATTATAGCACATATAACGTGTACCTTTCACGCTCATCAGATGGCAAGCCTGTGATTAGGGTGGCCCATATGTGAGCTCCGGCTAGCAAGCTATAGGCAGTTGGCTGCGCGGTTTGAGTCAGACGGTAGTAAATCACAGGGTAGACGAGGTGCTTCCTATAATCGCAGAAAACCCGCAGAGCTCAAATCAAGTCAATTAATCTGAGTAAGCAACACGTTACTGTTGCCTCCGACGAATGAGTTTAAAGGAACAGAGCAGTTCGGATCACCATATTCAGGACGCTGTGAATGGTATCTAAACACTGAACTGTTTGACAGGAATGTTGTCCTGCGATGCTCAATGGATTCAGCTACTCAACTTACTTAGCTGAGGATTACAAGCTGCTGTATGGTCACTAGGTAAATTCACTATGTAACCTTGGCCCAGAGGCGGCGTATCATGGAACCAATAGCAAGATCATCAGCGGAAAGCTGCATTTCTGAGGTACGATGAATAGGGGAAAAGTGTAAAGCACAGGAGTGATCCAATAACGACACTACTCACAAGACACAGTTGTAACTGTTGTTTACAAGGCATAGTTGTGCACTGGGAATAAGGAATTCACATTCACATTATTTCACCAGTTGGCTGTGCAGCGGTAAGCCATCGACGCAAGCGTAATTTTTCAGAGCAGTGAGCGCTAGTGACCGGGATAAGTTGGTCTAGGAACAAAAGGAATCTTTAAAATGATGATAATACTCTCAGGATACGCGTATAAAGCCATGAATGTCAAACAGTATTCCAACAAAACTGAAATCTCGAAAAATGCAACCTTGTAGCTTTTAAGGCACACAATCTGTAAACGTCAGATCAAAATTGCTGTAATAGACTAATATTCGAAACCTATAAAACAGCATGAGGTAGAAGAAAAGGGTTGGATAACTGCAATAGTGTGGAAGTGTTGAAAAACAAATTGAAGTAAGAGCTTTCCGCAATCGATCGGGTTTCGAAGTCCGCACCATAGGCAAGCATAGGAGAAAACAAGCTTTCAAGGGAAGCGGAAAACAAAAGTTATAAAGCTAATGAGATAGGTTAAATTGCCCAAACAGAAAATTAGATAAAGCCACCTAACTCTGATTCGAGAATGGGGGTGAGGGGCGCCGAAAGTCATCACCCATTTCACCATATCCGGAAATAAAAGCAACACCGTCAAATGAAATGCGGAACATGGAGGAAATTATGCGCCAACATAAAAAGTTAAAAGTCTTTGGTTTACCGCAAAGGGTAAGAAGGCGTTTAATGCAGCGGTAAGATTGGCAAAGAGAGCATACCGTGCCGATGTGACAGATCCCCAAATTCCCACGTAGAAACAAAAGTGAACACGTTCCGTTCGCAATGAGTCCGAAGAAGTGACAGATCCGCAACCCAAATGAGATCATAGAGAGGCAACAACAATGCAGACAAAACAAGTAATACATAAGTCACATGTATTGGGCACATGCTACTGTAGGATAGCTACGAGACAAGCAGCTGGATCAAAATAGTAACCTATCACAACCAGTAAGTGGGAAACTTTCAAACTTTTCAAGGCGAGTTGGGTTGCAGCTTCTCTGTATGTTATAGTTTGCAAGTGTTTTTGTAAAAGTAAGCTTACCTTCTGTACTGTATTGTAGCTGAGCGCCGGCACAAAAGAATTGTGAACAATCAGGAAGCTTAGTACAACGCCGGTGATGCACAAAGAAAAGACAAGCAAGAGATCGAGTGCAATCCGGATTGCGAGTGAAACCGTCACTATATGGAGAATAAAACGATGGTTTTGGACACTAATAAATACTCTATGACCGTATGATATCTGCTGAAGTCCAACACGCTGGTTACACAAAAAGGTGATAGTCTTATGCCAAAACATGACTGAGATTGAGGAAGAAAGTGAAAACGGGTACAAACGGAACCTGTTGGGATAATCATGTTCCAAATGATACAGTAAAATAGCATGACTTACTCTTAGGATAACTCCGGGAGTACTCAACTGTGAGTATACGTCCCCATAGCTGAACGCCATTCATTACGGTGATGGCTTTTGCTGCATTCTGGCAATCAGAATACGTGATTTGAATGAAGGGTAAGCAGGCAGATAGTGTAGCATTAAAACCGAAAAAGGCGTAAGCAAAAAGTTGAAGAAGTAATGTTATGCATTATAATTTATCAAACCCATTAAGGCTGCTGCGGCGTTAATTTCTATAACAATGTCATTAAAGCTTCTGAGCATTGGAACACCACCAGTGCGATGCAGAGGCGAGGCATAAATAAGTAAGAATATGAAATCAACGTTAATGATACAGGGTAAACGCAAGCACTTTTTCTTGTAGTCGATTTCGCAACTTTCTTTGGTATTAAATCCTCAAATAACCCATCGTCTGAACTTGAAAATGGAGTGACGATACTGCAGCTTGCGGCACGTGCAGTAGCTTGGATGAAGGACATTTTCACTACGGAAGCCACTAAGCCGGATGCTCAACCCTCAGTGGGTAATGTGCATAGACCACAGCTAGTGGGAGTATTAAATCAGCGCCGTCTAGCCTGTCCTTACCAAGAAGCTCACTGGAGGCACATCAAACTGCTAGGTAAACTCCAACGGTCTACGAGGGTCGGATAGCACTTGTGGGTCGGCCACTATGAAGTGCAATGAATACAAATATTTGAAGAAACCCGGAGATAATAAGTAGATGACAGTAAAAAATAGGGAAACTGGTCAGAAGATTGAGTCGGGCTGGTGCATGTCGTCGCGCTGATTGAAGCTAGGGAGTCAAGCCCCGCAACCGAAACCATAACCTCATCAAGGTTTGAGTGGGCCGTGATGATCCTATACATGTCCTTTTTGTTTTCTACCACCTCCCTATTCTCGATTCCATCTCGAGCTTTTTAATCACTACTACTACCACTACCAGTATGTTTATTGCGTCCTTAAAAATCGGGGTAAAAATAGCTTTTACGATTTGTTGTAAGGTGAATAGTTGTGCAACAGAAAGCAGAACACTGTGGAGCACAGTTGAGGGAGGAGAGGCCATTCGATGACTTAGTGAAGAAGAATGAGGACACTTTTCGCAGTTGGCATCGGCTGGCGCCTTCAGGCAACGGGATAGGGGTCTACAGACGATGAACACGTTCTGCTGGACACCTGGTGATGGCAAAGAAGCAATCTAGTGGTGCTTGGATTACGTTGCACTGTCCCCACTCCTCCCGCTTAGACTCATACAGCGACCGCGACCTCAGTCTCGAAGTAGAACAGAATGTTTCCCTTTGTTTGACTTTTGTTTTTATTATCTCTTTCTCACTGCGATTTAATTGGTTTGCATTGTGACATAATACCAGTGTTTCCCATAATAATAATAATAATAATAATAATAATAATAATAAGTATATTTCTCAATTGCGCGAGAAGCTATTCCTGGATTGGGGCCAGATAATGAGTACAAGAATGATCATGCTCATGCATGTGTGATGGTGACATCAAAATATTTTGGAATCACAGCTTTTTTGCTGAGTTTTGTGTACCCACTTTTCTCACAGGTTATGTATTTTTTTGTCCATGCTGGAAGAACTCGTGTAGTGCATTATCCGATGGAAACATGTTCAATATCGAGTTATGGTTCAGGAAATTTATAAGCTGAATGCGGAATGTTCTTGCATTTGTGCAAGACCTGATTGTGGTTGGTAGGCTATTCCACAAGACAGCGTATCTGACGAGGAAGAAGATGGATCGGGTAGCTGTACTGGTGATTGGCAAAGTTAATTTACAGGTCTTGTTGCGTAGATCCTGAGTGAAGTTATGTTGAAATTTTAGTGTGTATAGATTAGAACATGTTTTTAGTCTATAAGGTTGTGTATCTGCATCAAATTGTTTCAGTCATCGCAACCAAAGAGGCTCGAACTTAAGCTGTTGGCAGCACCCCTCATAACTCAAGATGGAGGATTTACTAAACAAGTGTTTTGTGAATGACGTTTGCAGGTTTTTCAAAGCTTTCTTGTTACCCATACACATGTTTCCATAAAAGATGCTGCAGTATTCAAGGACAGGAAATGTAGGTATTTTGGAAAGCTGGATTGTGGCAGGGGTTGTGTGGATTTTATGGCATTTGTTAGCCATAGATAGTGCGGCACGTGCTATTCCATACACAGCTTGCTCCAAGAAAGTATAGTTTGAAGAGTATCGCATGCCTAGACCGCAGTTAGTTCCACACATACCTAGCTAACATGCAGTATGGTGAGGATAATTGTCTGAGGAATTCGGCGAGTAAGAAGTGTAGATGTAACAACACACTGTGCATGGTACGAAGTTGCGTGTGTACTCCTAACGAAAGCTACTCACAGCTAAGAAAATGCTCGAAAGTACCCGGAGAAGTGGAGATATGGACGGTTGTATTGCTAAAACGATTTGTTTTGTCGCATTTATTTGGACGTGCTAAGAGAGTAAGACTACTGCTGTCAACTTACATTTCCGAAATAGTAGAATTCCTGTCACGCTTATCACAGCAAGAGCTTGAACAAGTGCTGTGGGCAACCTTACACTCCCGAACACAGCCAGTGGTAACAAATACAATGAGTAATATCGTCGACATAAAGCAGCGCAAACTGAAGAACATTGCAGTGATAATGAAATAAATGCAACGTCAAGTGACCTAATGGGATGAGTAATAAAACTGCGTAGATGCGTTCGTGTCAGTGAACAAATGGCGTTGAATCTTGCCATTAAGCTGCAACGCGTCTGTATAGTAAGGTTATTAATATCCGTCTCCGGATTTGTAAGTCTGATTGTGAACAGCCTCTAGAAGACGGCTTACAAAACGAATAATGAGGGGTATGCCATGCAACACAAAGGAACACAATATCAAGCGTAAAGCAGAAAAGGTTGAGATCGGGAGACACTCGGATTCGGAACCCGTCCAAGCTCCTTGTACACTCATACGGTCCGATTAAAAGTAGGAAAATGTATGCAGTAAACGAACACATGGTTGCATGGTAGTCATTATCATCATCACAATCATTATACGTTAGGTACCAAATAGATTTCAGCTAACATGCTAGAAAACAAAAGTGACAGGGCATATGGAGAAAGAAAGACAGGACGCAAAACATTACAGAATACAATATAAAACCAAAAAGGTAATGTGAGGCTTTGCGTCACAACAAGCGTCACGTGTAAGGAGATGGTTGGCGGGAGAAGATAAGCGGGATGAAAGACAAAGAAACAACACAAATGCCACTGATGCTGGCTCTTCGCCATGCCAACTTGTGTATCCAACCAAACGTGTTCATCGTATTCCCGACCGCCGCTCAGCATTCCGGAGACACCAGCCAACGCCAAGTTAGGAGTGAGGTCCGGCATTCCACGAACCCCACATCAGGAGGAGACTAGACCGTAACGTAGTGACGGTTTGCGTACCACTTTGACGCACTGAGCCTTTGCAGCTACTCCTACCAAAGTGGTCAACGGTTAGAGGTCAGACAAAATCAGTCTCCTGGTCCTCCAGATTGGAGCAATGAAAGGGGGTGGCGTCCGTTTATGTAAAACCGAATCGATGCCACATCCGCTGTCTTGCGGAGAGGCTCTTGAGCCAAAGGCTTCCGTTAAGGACTCTAATCGTTCTGCTCTCTAGGTCTGGACAATGAGGCAGTATCTCGGCCCACGTACAACCATGATTATTTCCAGAAACTCCAACCACATCCTGCATCGGCCGTCCCATAGCTTATTTAGGATCGCCTCAGCTGCTACATACGGCAGATCGGATAAGCGAAAAAATGCTACTGCTGGCGCCTCCCCTCCTCCTTTCCAACGGTTTTCATTACTCTGCTCACAGTCTTTATTACTAGTCTTACTCATTAAATTCCCAGTTCAATTCACAGCAACCGCAATCTCACTGGAGTCATACCATCTCCAGCTATGTTCCCGCACCACCCACTGGACGCCGATCGGCAGCAGTCCCTCATAAGATTACGCTGTTCCGTTTCCAGGGCAGCGTTTAACGTTCGCACTCTGATACAAATAGGTCAACAAGCTTTAATAGCATGCACGCTGGACTCAATGAGTATTGGAGTGTGCTACATAGTCGAAACTAGGATCAATGACCCGCACGGGGTTGATTGCACGCATCCGGAGACGTTCACGGCGCAACCAGTAGTCAAGCTATGGTGGGCACTGCTCTCAGCTCCAACGCCCAGTAATCGTTGGTTAATTGGACTCTAGTGAACAGCAGTTTGTGTGCAGTCCGTCTGACAACATCAAATAAAGTCGATTCACGGAGTAGCACTCCACCCTGTTTGCTTTTGATTTCCGCTTATGCCCCCACCGATTACAGCTTCGATGCTGCGAAGGACGCATTCTGCTACGAAATGAACACGCTACTATGCAGTGCTACCAGTGCAGATATAGTTCTCGTAGGGGATATGAATGCATAAATAAGTCGTTTGAGCTCTACAGAAGCTTTGGTGGGTGATAAGTATGAAACTAACTTCGAACGGCGAGCGTCAATTGAAAATGTGTGCGGAGCACCAGCTGTTTCTTAGCAGCACCAAAGTGCAACTTGATATCATCCTGTAGCTGGCCAACAATGGATCCAAATAGGTCACGTTACCATAAGTTACAGATGGGGTGGTCCCATCCAAAATTGCCACTCGTTCTGGAATACCTGCGTGGAATCTCATCAAGTCCTGATACGCTATAGTTTCTTCACGAACTTTACCGAAAGCTGTCCCAAGTGTCTCCCTCAAATGGCAAGCAGTTATCTTAGCCCTCCGTCACGCAAGCCTAGCAGGAGGCACTGCGTACCGAACCTCTGCCCTCATGTCCTAATGACATTAAGCTTCAATGAAAATAGGAATTAGGCGGCCATACAACATGCAGGAGCCACCGCCTGCGGAACGATCAATTGTCACCGCACCAGTCACCTGATATCCGAGAAGTGTATGAAGCTGTTGGAATCCAGAAGAAAACTCCCGCCTGGCTCTGAGCACAATGTGACCAGGTGGACTATTAGGCGCGCACTAAAGCGGAGCCCACGTAGTGACAAGGAAGCTTGGTGGACCAGTCGGGCTCAAGAAATGGAGGCAGGAGCAGTAGGCAATTACCGCAAGCTCTTCCTGCTTATCCGCACCACTGGTCCCAGAAAACCAGGCGTCAGTGATACAAATAAAGACCGCGCGAGTGCTCTGATACGCAATAATGAGCACCGTATGGCTCGTTGGGCGGAATATTTTTAAGATCAGTTCAGTTGGCCCCCTGCTCCCAGACCTCTTCCTACTCAGGTGATGCAGGACGAGCCATGGACGGTTAGTTTAGTGGCTCCATCGGGGCCTGAGGTCCGAAACGCGATCACAGCTCCTAAGCGGTTTCTTGCTGCTGGCCCGGATTCCATCCCACCTGCACTATTTAAAGATGATGGCGAGGTCCTCTGGAAAGTACTGACTTCCCTACTCGAACATATCTGAAATGAAGTGTCCCGGCTAACTAAACTGAATCAATTATGGTGGCGATTTACAAGAAGAGCATTCGCACGAACTGTGCTAACTACACGGATAATAACCTAACACTGATTATGAAAATGGTACTGCCCTCGATTCTCGTTCGTCGCCTCACTGTGGAACGGGAATCTCGGATTAGGGAAGAGCAGACAGGTTCGCGCGCAGTGCTGTTACAAGACCACCAGCCAGTTGATGTCCTCGCGACCCTTGGTAGCTGCATTAGTAATGATGGGCGCACAGCAACTGAAGTCTGTTCATACAATGCAAAACCAGAACTGTCTTTTTGAATCTGTGGCATTTGTGGTGCCGAAAAAGAGCTACCCTCCGTCTGAAAGGCTGTGTATAAAAGGTCACAGTAAGGACAGTCCTACTCCATGGAAGCGAGACTTGGCACTAACCGGAGGACCTGCAGCGCCTTCAAGTTTTTGATCATCGTTGTCTGCGAAGCATTGCTGGTGTCGGATGCCACCAGTGTGTCCGCAACAATGATGTGCGTAGGCGAGTACCAGATAGTGTTAAGCATGCCAGTTATAACAATAGACAACATTGAATAAGTTGCGTTGGCTTGGGCACGTGCTACGTATGCCTGGTCACCGCTTACCCAGGAGGGCCTTGTTTAGTTTGCCAGATGTAGGGTGGCGCAAGTCTCGAGGTGGACAGAAGTTGACTTGGCAGCGGGAAATGAAGTCATTGACGACCAAACTGGGTGCTGTTGGTCCTTCTGGCCTTCCGGGCTGAAGTCCACGTGACTCGCTTTATGCGTGGCTCGAGACGTTACAGGTTATGGCTAGTAGTTGACAACTGCGGCGTGTCTACTGTCGTCTCCTAGTCGGACTGCCTGTTTAACGTGTGTTCGGTGCTGAGTTATCTGCGAAGTAATGGCTGAGTATAACGCGGGGTAGTGAAAGCCGCAAGGAAGTTGTCTCGCCGATACCGCCCTGTCTTTGCACGATAGTCATCTGTTTGCGATGGTATGTTGTTGATAAGGTGTGGGCGCTTTGACCCTGAGCGTTTGTTCAGAACATTAAGGTTGTACCGTAGGTCACCTTCTCTTCCTCTTATTGTTCTTCGTTTTGTAGACCACCATGGTTGTACGGCAGCGAAGCATCAGTTAAAGTGGCTGTTATAATGCAGTTAAAATAATAATAAAATAACAATTCCATTCATATCCCGGTCGCGCTAACAATGCATGTCACGGGCGTTTGGGGGCTGGTATGTGCAACACTTGGCCCATCCATCGGAGCTTGGTGCTGGAAATAACGGTGCTGAGGGGTTCATTCGCGTTTCCTGCACCAAATACGCGACGCCGAACATACACATAGCTCACGCGGTGTTCCTATCTGACATGAACTAAACTGCGAAAGCAGTCAGAGTCAAAGGTAACAAGCCACTTTGTCTGTCGATCTAGTAGAGCAGGTTCCGCAACCGTACAAGACTGCTGGACAGACGGTTAGGCTAGAAACTCTGCTCTTCAAAGTGAGAGCGATGTTACACCGGCACCACAGGTGGCGGAGATGGGAAAAAGCGTCTCCTGCGTTTGCTATACGGTTTGCAATCTTACCTTGGATCCCACGGGTGTTAATCTAGCTGACTAGATACTAAAATTTATGGAAGACTTTAGGGATACCAGTTTTAGCGAGGATCAAGGACTCCAAAAAGAAAAGGATGAACTAACGTACGCTTGGGTGAACATAAAGTTGCCGACGGGAGTGACGCTCTGCAATTCCGCGTGCGCTGGAACTAGTAGAAAGCCGCCTAGAAAAGCAAGATTGGGGAAGATTAAGAATCGGTGGTCGAAGACAGTTGGAACGGGACGATAAAGATGAAAAAGCGCAGCAGGCTGAATAAGACGGGAAAGAAACCACAGTGACATCGTCATTCCTATCTACCATGCTCGATGGAGCAGATAGGGCACCGTTAACTATCCTCCATGACGACTACAGCATAAAGAAGTCAAAGTCACTAGTGTACTGCGTAAGCAGAATATTGTCACGCTGCCAGACCTAGATAGGAGAAGGATTAGAGTTCTCAACCAAAGCTTTTGACCCAGAAACATGGCCGTAAAGCAGCGGGGTCTGGTAGTAAGCAACATAAGGTCAGTTTTGTGGAATAAAGAGGCACCCTCACTCTAACCCACAACATCGAGGACCCGAAGACTGTTTGTCTGAAGTCAAACCATTGATCGATCTGGTATGAGAGGCTCTGAAGGTGCGAAAGTAGCCAAAAGCTCAATGGATCGCTGAGGAACTCATGGTAGTCACAGTATCACGTCTCGCGCAGCAACAAATGAAGTGAAAGCATCGAAAGAACGGACATTTTGTTAATAATTCTATGGAACGTAATCAAGCTTGACAGTCATCACCAAGTGAAGTCCGAATTAGGCTACGAAGCACAGCAGATGCTTCCATGGTCGCAGTATAGGCATAAGTCGAAAACGTATCGAACATGATAGTGATATGGTGGATAGCAGAGTTCAAATGGAGAGAAAGACCCCAGTCCGGGTGCAGTAAAAAAAGAAAAACAGCATAACAAAATACCACACCACATCACACAACTGAGGGACACAGCAACATGATTTGATACGAAATAACAAAGGATATTCGACAAACGCGTAGCCTTTGGCTTTAGCCGTGTTCACATCAACTGGAATAGTTACATTTACGATATCCCCAAGTTTTTTGAATTCTGTCCAAACGTCATTGTAGCTGAAGTGGATAATAGTTGCGCAACATTAGGGGTGAAAAAGCAAATTAATCAAGTTAAGAAAAAGAAAAAAAGAATTAGCTTTGTTAATTAACAACATAGCTATAAATTGAGCTGAAGGTGAGAAATACACTTCAGCTATTGTAACGAGCGGTTCGCGCGCTCGCTCGTTCTACGCCAAAAACACGACGCCGAACAGCTTCATTGCTCATACGGAGTTCCCATCGGACATGCGCTAAAGCGCGAAGGCAACGACTGTGAAAGGCAGGAAGCCTCCTTACAGCTGTCGATCTGATGGACCTGGTTTCGCAAAAAATATAGTAGGGTTGAACGGACGGTTGCTGCTGAAAAGGCTACCTTTCAGGGTGAGATAGATGCTGCAGTGGTACCACAAGTGGAGAAGTGTCTACAGCTCTTATTATACAGTTCGCTAACAACTGTTTAGATACTTAAAGTGAAGTTGGAAAGGGAAAATAAGAATGAAAAGGCACAATAGGGAGAATAAGAGGAAGGGAATGCTTGAGCAGTAGTCTTGAACCCCAATCCACCCTGATGGATTCAGTAGATAGGGCGCCGTTGACTATTCTATGCGACGGCCAGAGCACCAAAAAAGGGTTTGAAGATAAAGTCATTGTACTGTGTGGGCAGAAAACTGTCAGGTTGCCATGGCATAGACAGGAGGACGATTAAGCCTCGCAAGCAAAACCATCGGTTCAAAAGCCTGAACGCAAGGCAGCGGAGTTTGGTGCTGGGCTACAAGGAATCAGTTCCATGAAGTATTGAGGCACCCTAAGCCCAACTCAACGACTACATTATGATTTTCCCCAAGGAGTCCACGACGGAAAGCCCTGACGAACGCTACTTGTTGTCGGAAAAATATCCGACAGGCCCCAGTAGACGCTGACGCGACCCGTAGTGTTCCAGTAGAAAGCATGTTAGATGTTCACATATTTCGTGGGAACAGCTTGCCGCGCAATTATTTCGAACAGAATGCATCGATCTACAGAATCGAACGAACCCCGTAAATCAGGGAACACAGCTATTGTCGGTCTGCGATATGCGTAGTGCTACCCTACCACCTGCTGCAGTGAATATGTGGTCTATACAGCCACGTCCTGAGCGGAAACTGGCCTGCTCTTCCCTAATCCGAGATTCCCGTTCCACAGTGAGGCGACGAACGAGAATCGAGGGCAGTACCATTTTCATAATCAGTGTTAGGTTATTATCCGTGTAGTTAGCACAGTCCGTGCGAATGCTCTTCTTGTAAATCGCCACCATAATTGATTCAGTTTAGTTAGCCGGGACACTTCATTTCAGATATGTTCGAGTAGGGAAGTCAGTACTTTCCAGAGGACCTCGCCATCATCTTTAAATAGTGCAGGTGGGATGGAATCCGGGCCAGCAGCAAGAAACCGCTTAGGAGCTGTGATCGCGTTTCGGACCTCAGGCCCCGATGGAGTCACTAAACTAACCGTCCATGGCTCGTCCTGCATCACCTGAGTAGGAAGAGGTCTGGGAGCAGGGGGCCAACTGAACTGATCTTAAAAATATTCCGCCCAACGAGTCATACGGTGCTCATTATTGCGTATCAGAGCACTCGCGCAGTCTTTATTTGTATCACTGACGCCTGGTTTTCTGGGACCAGTGGTGCGGATAAGCAGGAAGAGCTTGCGGTAATTGCCTACTGCTCCTGCCTCCATTTCTTGAGCCCGACTGGTCCACCAAGCTTCCTTGTCACTACGTAGGCTCCGCTTTAGTTCACGCCTAATAGTCCATCTGGTCACATTGTGTTCAGAGCCAGGCGGGAGTTTTCTTCTGGATTCCAACAGCTTCATACACTTCTCGGATATCAGGTGACTGGTGCGGTGACGATTGATAGTGCTACAAGCAGACGTTTTTGGGTCGTGCATGGCGGCCGAGGTCCTATTCCATCTAAGCTCAGTGACATTAGGATAAGACAGTGGAAGTTCGGCGAGCAGTGCCTATAGATAGGCTTGTCTGACCGAGGGCTGAGGCAATTTCACAGTTGCCAATCGGGTGAGACGCTTGGTGCGCCTTAAACTAAACTTCATGGAAAAATGACGGCGTACCAAGGCACGACCAAAGTTGACGCAGGTATTCCAGAATGAGCGGCAATCCAGGATGAACCACGACACCTGTACCTTAAGGCAATGTGAACTATTTGGGTCCATTGCTGGACAGCTACAAGAGGATGCTAAGTGGCACTTCGGCGCTTACTGGGTCTAAAAGTGGTGCTAATAAGCAACGACTGGTGCTCTGTACACAGTTGTAACAGACGCTCGCCGTTTTCCGTACGGTCGGAGTTTAGTCTATACCGACCACCTAGTTGGGTTTCTGAAGAGCTCAGACGAACTACTTGTGCACTCATATCCCTGCAAGAACTATGATAGCTGAACTGGTAGCACTGCGTAGCAGCGTGTTCAGTTCGCGATAGAATGTGTCCTCAGCAGCATCCCAACTGAAGTCGGTGGAGCATAAGCAAAGACCACAAATAACGTCTTGTACTACTTTGTGAAGCAACCTTAGCTGGTGTCACCAAAAGGACTGCACAAAAACAGTCGTTCACTGGAATCTAATCAAGCAACGATGGCTCAACCTTGGAGCTGAGAATGATATCTACACCAGCTTGACCTGGGAAAGCTGCATCAGCGTGCAACCATTGGCGAGAAAACAGGCCAGGTGCAGTTAATTCAATAACCCCGTTAGGGTCATTGAGCCTAGTTTCGGACACACAACACACATCAATACTTAGTGTAGCCAAGGCGTGTGCCAGTGCAGCCTGTTGACCTGTTTGTCTCAGAGTGCGAACGTTGAATGTCGCCATGGAAACAGGATAGCGTGGGTTTACAAGGGACTTTTGCCGATAGGCGTACGAAAGGTGCTTTGGGATGGTAGCTGCAGATGATTCTACTCCAGTGGCACTTCGGTTGCTGTCAATTAAGCTGGGAATTACAGAAGGAAGATTATTAATAGGGGTCGGGATGGGAGTAACAGAAACAGGTGAAGAAGAAAGGAGGGAGGCGCCAGCGGTAGCATGTTTTCGCTTATCCGCCCTGCTGTATGCAGCAGATAAGGCGATCCTTGATAATATGCGCGACGGCCGATGCAGGATGAAGTTGATGCTTGAAGAAAATGTCATGGTTGTATGTGGGCTGAGATACTGCAAGGGCGCCCATGCCCAAGACAGGAGGACGATTAGAGTCCTCATCCAAAGCCTTTGGCTCAAAAGCCTATCCGCAAGGCAGCGGGGAAGTGGCAATGATTTGGTTGTACAGAAATGGACGCTATCCCATTTCAAACCTCCAACCTGGAGGACCAGAAGACTGTCTGACATCTGACCATTGGCCAATATGGTAGGAGTAGCTATCAAGGGGCCGGAGACACCACTCAGTGTAGTTCAACAGGTCAAAGAGATAAGTAAACAGTCGAACCACGTGAACGTTCGTTCTCGTTGCGACGGCAGAGTTCCGCTTCGCTGGGTGAATATAGTGAGACAAGCCATGGTAGATAAATGGGTGTACTGCGTGCATGGATGGATGGTGTAGGCCAGTTAAATTAGGAATAAAGGTGCTCAGTAAGGCGGTCCAGACTCAGCTGTCGGTTGGTGATCGGAGACACATCTGACTCGCAGATATCCTCAGATACCAGGCTTTCTGAGGCCAGTGGACCAAATGAGTTGGAAAAGTTCGTGTGTTGTCAGAGTGAGCAGCGACCAGCATATCCAAAGCATGTTCAGATCACCAGGCCTCGCGAGCATTGCGCATGCTTTGCTTGAACTGAAGTTCGGCCGAACGGCGTCGCTTTTGGCATTCTGGTCCCGTCGGGATATATCTGCGGCGGTCGAACAGCTCGAGAGAGCGAGAGGAGATCCAAGCCTTTAAAGAGTGCCGACCTAGGCCGTAAATTAGTTGATTAGAAGTGGACCTTGCCGTCTGTAAACAAGTCCAGTGTTACTCTATGTCTGCTATCGAAGACTGACAACTTGCCTGGATCGAGGAATCAATTAATAAGTTCGCATCAATCTAGCGGTGCTTCATTTCTGGTGAACCCCAAAAAGACATGCATATTTTCGGACGGAATAGCGAATAGTCCGAATCAATGCGGCTGGACAAAAATAACTTGCTCTGCCCTGACATCTGAAGCTGACAACAATGTGAATAATTTGGAGACACGCTGGAATTGGCGAAGGGGACGCCAAGTTGCAGAAAGTTGCTTTGTATATCTGAAGTTTTGTTCCAGAGAAACAGATGATTGTCTGTGCACAATGAGAGAAATGTCTCTCCGTTATCCGAGTGATCCTCATCGAGCCCGCAGTGACTACCAAGGTAACGTGTATACGTTAACAGGCGACCAACCAGTGCCTTGAAGTATCTAAAGATGATAACGATATCTGATTTGTTAATTATATATATACATATATATATGTACATTTATATATATGGGCTAAACCAACTTACACTTAAACTAGTTCTTTTTAAGCTGGATAAATTTCATTCCATTTTATTTAGTTTGTTCTGCCTACCTGAATAATGTTCAATTAACTGGCCACGTTGCTTACGCTAATTGCGCTTATCTTCGATAATTTTGTTGTGTTTGTAGCATTTTAAGTAACTTGTGGACATTTCTTACTTACCGTGGATTCGTTGCTAACCAGCTTACTTCATATGGTAATTTAGCGAAGAGTTATGCCACCGTATCTGTATGCATTATTGGATTTATTTTATTTCAGCTTGTCGTTTAAAGTGAATGGCTGTTGCTTGATATCCCCGGTGTGGATGCACTTGATGTGCATGTTGACAAGGTGCCTACCTGTCTATTACCTACTACCTCGTTCATACTGGCTCCAGGAGACAGTTGGTCGTTGCTGGAGGGGACGGGTTGCACGGTCTTTGTGGCCGTGCTAGGCTCAAAGAGCGGTTCCATGCACTCAGTGTGGAGTGGACTACGGTCCAGCCACCGCCTAGTGTGCGCTTGATTTCCCA